AATGCTATAGAACTAAGTGACAAGTGCCATGTCTCATGACCAATGCACTAAAAATTATAGGCACTACCTAGGGTGGTTGGCCACAATTTCCACTCATCTGTTTCACAGCCTGATGTGCATGAACTGGAAGGGTGTGTCCTCCATGTTGTGTTAAACAAATTTGAGAGTGAATAGTACATGTGAAGGGAGCAAAAAGGTAAGTTGTAGTTAAGGAGGGGATCTGGGGAGGTGGGGGCGCACTTGCACCCTCCTTTGATTCCTGCTCCACCGGAAGTTTAAAGCCTGGTAGTGGTGGCAGCATTTTAAGCCAGGCAGTGCTGAGGAAGTCAACTGAGTCTGAGCCACGATTCCTTTAAAACTCTTCATTTTGCAGGTGTTAATGACCCTCTTTTTTTTTTTTTTTTTTTAACCTTCTTGATGGTCCACCATCAATCAAGCTGGCCTTTGTTCTGCAATTCTGCTGCCTTGCTAGCTGCTCCAGGTAAGGAAGCTCCTACTTCACAGTTCTGCAGATATTTTTAAACTCATTTCAATGGAGTTATATTTGCTTTTGCTTCAATCTTAAATGAAATAATATGGCCCTAGGCCCCTAGTATATTAGTAAAGCTTCTAGTTTATTAACTGGAGAAAAAATGTGTGTTGTTTTCTATGTGATGGTGCACCTCTCCATCTGTACCCCGTTTTCAAAATTCCAGATCTTCCCACAGACTTGGGGGCTCACTTAAGCAGTAATGCCAACTGTTGTAAAACCATCGCAAGACTCGGGATTTCTAAGTCAAAATAACTCTGACTCGCAATCTCCTGATTGAACCCTCAGATCTGCGGATTTTCCCAGCTGATAAGTCTATGGAAGGAAGTGAGGGGGAGGAAATCAAGGCCCCCATGGTGAGGGAGGGAGTTGGGGCAGGAGCAAGGGTGAATGGAGACCAAGTCCAAGGCAAGTTGTCCAGAGGCGTGGGAGGACATGACTTCCCGCAACTGCGCACACCCCCAGAGGAGACATGGGGGGCATGTGTTTCCACCCACCCACCAGGAGGGCAGAAGCAGGCTGCCTACTGCAGGCTGGGGCTGTGCATCCTGCTGCCTTTGCCGAGCTGGCAGGGAATGCGGAGCGCATTGGCTGCACAGCGCATCCCCTGCCCGCCCAGAAACAGGAAGCACACTGGTGTTGCACAGCTGAGCTCCTGGGGCAAAATCAGCAGGACAGAGCCCCTGCCCGCAGCAGGCAGCTCGCCTCTCCCCTGCGGGAGGCACATGCCCCCCATGCCTCCCTCAGGGGAGCGTGCTGCTGTGGAGAGCCGCACCTCTCCCTGCACCTCTGGATGACCCGCCCTAGCCCCAGGGCCCCATTCGCCCTAACCCCTGCTCCTGCCCCACTCCCTCCCTCCATCACCGTAGGGGCCTCAATCTGCACCCCCGTACCCTTCCCTCTCCCCCCATCCCTTCCACTCTGCTTACCAGCTGTCTGCGTCTCCTCTCCTCAGTCCAAAGCCATAGCCCCTCCAGCCCTACTGCTGCCTCTCACTCCCGACTCCAAACTCTACACACACATCTACAGCCCTCCACACCTTCACAAATAACGCCCCCCCACACACATTTCCAAAATAGCATCTCATGATTTACATGACAACATCTTGATTTAAGAGTTCATCTCATGATTTTTGGCACAGTGGGGTTGATAATACGGTTTATGCAGTATTGTCCCGCCATAGCTACAGTGATTTAGAAACTGGTCTAGAAACTTATGCTGGTATAAAAATTGCAGAAAGAAAGTATGCTGTCCCAAGCACCTGTACAGAATGGGAAATGCATTGCTTTAAACTTCTACAAGATAGCTGTACAAGAACTGCACTTAGACCTGCTCTAGGTCAATTTTTAAAACGAGAAAGTGAAGCCAACCAATAAATGGCCAGGAAAGACATGATCAGTTATAACCAGGGAAAAATCCTAGCACTGAAAACACCATTGCCATCTCCCAACCCCAACAATCTGCTACCATTTCCAAACACCAACAACTCGGCTAACACCTCTCTCAACCATATAGTTGGCCCAATTAAGGTAGCACAAAAATAAATCTGTCCTCTCACAATATCAGGGTATTCAGCCATTAACTGTGTTACAACAAACCCAGAAGACTGAAGATTCTCAAGTTTTCAACATTTGTTGTAGTTTCAGCTGAAAGTACTAGAAGGGTTAATTTAAAAAAAAAAAAGTTGGTTTTGCAAAACCAACTGAGAGCTGTAAATTAAAATGTAAATAGATACTATTTATCTTAAAAACATATTTATACTAAATATATTAGAATTCTTTAAAAAAATGACCAAAAATGGATTTGTACTCACCGATATATATTCCAGGTTGCTACAGGGAAGTTAAGGAGGAAGATGAACCAGTGCAAAGAAATAAGCATTAATACTGTTACAACAGTATGGCCAATCAATTCTGGGATCACCCACTGTGAAAGAAAAGAATATTGCAAAAAATTAAACACATTTCCAGAGGCAGTGAACCCTTAGGACCCACTGCCCAATCTAATCATATCAAGGCCTACAAAAAGAGTGGAAAAGTATTTCCCTACTTTACTATAGAGCAGTTACTTTCATCCATACACCAGGGTGATGATGAGGCAGAAAAACCCTGTGCATTTTATAGTTACTAGGTACACAAGAGTTTAAGCAAGTAAAACATAATGTATTCAGATGGAACTGCTGCAGGGAAAGTGAGTTTTAAATAGAAGGTAATTAATGAAGCCTCCCTACCTAAGGCATTGGAGAAGCAACAGATCCAGGAAGCTAACAAAATGTTGTTTCATAAAAGTTTGCTGCTCTGACCATACACTATCATATTTATACCAATCCAAGATAACTTTGAATATGATACCTGCCCTCACAATAATTAGATTCTATACATGGAAAATTATAAATGTGTTATAATTTTTCATGTGTAGAATCTAATTAGTGGAAGGGCATCTTAAATTCATCAGTGGTGTAGAGGAGGAACCAGACCCCTCCCCTTATACACCTCTGCCTATGACTGCCCCCCCTGCCCCTTGTCACATGCCCCCTCCAACCTGTCTCTCCACACCTGTACCTGTCCCCCCATTCTCCCCTGCAGCCTGCCCCCACCCTTACCTTCTGCTGCAGCTCTGCTCCTCTGGGGAAGTCAGCAGCAGTAGCGGCCCTGGCCAGGCCTCAGCCCAGTCCAGGAGAAGTGGCAGCAGCTCCCAGATGGGCTGAAGGGACCGCAGCCAGAGCAGAAGGTAAAGCAGAAGAGCAGAAGGGGGGGCAGGAGGGAGCAGGCTGCAGGTTTCCCCTGCATAATATGCCTCAGAGAACCCTGCTGGTCAAAGGCGGCTAAGAATGACAGCCAAATAGTTTTTAAAAGATCCCAAAGTAGAGACCCACAGTTCACCACATGCAAAGGGAGAGGAAGAGAACTCTGGAGATCTCCAGTAAAGACCCACCGTACAGTCTGCCGCAAGTGCCCCTCAGAGGAGAAATGTCTTATGATATAAGCCAACAATTGATCAAAAAGGGGACATGGGTGGCAGGGGGCGGGGAGGGGAGACAGAGAAGGGGTGGCGGGGGGAGAAGACACACAGACGTATATAGGACATCAAACATGTAGTATCTTGAGAGAGATCCTACTGTTTCTGATGCAAGGACATAGGGCCCATTGAGTTTTATCAAATTAAATGTAAAAGAAAACTCTTTACTTTATTCAGCTTTGAGCAGCAAGATCTAGCATTAATGTAGTCACATTCCAAATCCGATAGTGTAATTATCTGAAGTCCAAGATAAGGAATATTTTCATGCAGAAATTCAACTCATAATTCAAAACTCTATTTTAAGCCTCATACAGTATTTAGACAAATTTATACAAGAAAAGAAGAAACTTAAGGCTTGATCACTGCAATCTGTTCTAGGCCTTTTCTACTGTTAGGAAATGATGTCAGAATTGCACCAAAGTTAAATGAGAATTTACGGTCCTATTTTATTTCTTCTATATGTAGGGTAAAGATGGGCAACATATTGGTATCAGCACACAAGTTATTTTATAGTATTTTTCCTAACAACGACTTATGACCATATGCTGAAGTTGAATTCAACAAACTGAAAACAGATTATGGAAATCCAGAGCCTGGCACATTTAATATCAGATCTGAAAAAAGAATCCATGAGGGAAGAAAAGAATTACGTTTTTTGTTCTTTACAACAAAGGAGACCAGGATTTTTTTTCTAATATTAGTTCTGTGCGTTTTGCATTTAGCAGCAATATCAGGTTGCTCTACATTCTGCTACAGCTGAGTGGAAAAACGTCATGAGAAATTGAATGTTATTAAATAAAAGAATTTTTTTGTTAAGACATTCCTCTTTGGAAGAGACAGAAGTTGGGTTGCACAGGTTTTAAGTGCAAAGTTCACACTCCAGGTCTCCAGCACAAGCCAAGACAAATACTCAGCATTCCTAAAGTCCCAAAAGTAAAATTAAAGGCAGAAAATCTTTATGAACCACCCCATCTTTCTATAGCAGAACAAAACAAGAATTTCTTGTCCTTCTGAAATGCTGCAGGGTTTCTTTCCCACCCTCATGCTAAGTGGTCTACCTATGCTCTGAAATAATTCCAGGGTTTATAAGAATCTGAAATCTCGGGTTCTCTTCTGACTGAGAAATCAGTAATTTCTGAATCCTAATAATGCCATAAATCAATAGAAAAAAGATTAAAGAGGTATGCATAAAAAAGATGTATGAAGGCGTAGTTCAACCAGGAACTAACAATACAAACTGCCTGAAATATACTCTGGGGGTTAGCAGGTGATTCACATACTCCTGGCTTGTAACAGACTCTCACGCTTTCCAAAGTTTTCAAGATTAAAAGAAAACAACAACAACCCTCACGACCCCATACTTTTACATCTTCCTTCCTCTACATCAAGGGTATAAAACTTGTTTGGCAACCAGGACTCCTTGTAGGCCGGATTGGGGTTTACATAGCTGTTGCTCCCTGAGCCACTGCCAAAACATGTCCTCAGTAGGGCCCCATACCCCAATTTGATGGCAGGCCCTGTCCCCTCCCTCACTCCTGAATCCCCAGGAGTTCACACTCTGGTGGCAGGGTTCGACACCCCTCCCCTGCCCTGCACAGTGCCAAGCTATCCAGAAGCATCGCCGTGTACTTCTCCCTACA